AGGTGGCTGCTACTGTCGGGACCGAGGCTGCCGAGCCGGGCCGGCGCTGCTGCCGTGGCTGCGGGAGGAAGGAAGGTGGCGAGGGCCGTGCCGCGCTGGCCCTGGGCGGCATTTAAAGGACGCCGGGCCCTGGCACAGGAACAGGGCGGGGACCCGGCCGGGCTGCCGCGGCTTGCTCAGCTTGCCCTGCCCCTTGGCCATTGGACGGTGGCTGGAGGCTGGGGCGAGAGGGACGGGCCTGTCCCGGCCGGCTGGGAAGGCTGGACCTAGTTGGCGCTCTCTGGCGGGGGGGTGGGTGGGGCCGGGGGCTGGGGCGGCGAGGTCCCGACCTGCTAGGTGACAGGTGCTTGTGACAGCCTTCCCTGTCCTCTCCCTCCAGCCTCCTGCCGATTAACCTTCCTTCTCCAACGACGTCCTGGGGACAGGTGGGACGGTGGAGGGCCGGAGAAGAGGGAAGGGGTGGGCGGTTGTATTCTGAAGCCTGTGACGTGCCCCCCCCGTTCTTTGAGAAAATTCCAACAACGTCGAAGGAAAGATTCGTTCGTCTCTCCAGGGTTGAAAGATATTTAACGAAAGGTCTCAAGGCATGCAGAAATGAATATTTCATTCAAAGGAAGGGGCAGGGAGGATTCAGGGTGGGAATCTTTTTATCCCAGGAGGTTAGGTACATTACAGGTGGGTCAGGGCCAGGTCTTGGCTGTGATCTAGCAAAATCATCTCAAATTAAACTGCCACCGTGACTGTCTTTAGTCAACCCCAGTTAATTGTTTTTGAACAAGTCAATCTCCCCAAGATAAGGTAGTATATTTTCTCACTGAAAATCCGCTCCCCCCCCTCCATTCTCCAGCAATTCCCAGAGGGTGTGCCCCTCTATTATCCCAAGGCACAATTGTTTATGGCATTGCCACAGTGGGGTGATTGTGTAACAGCTCAGATAAAGTCCTATCGCCATACCCTCTATTAGGTGACATCCTTGGCTTAAGCATTCCATTGTGTGAATCACCGGGTGTTTTGGAGCCTGTGTGACCTACTACAATCCCTGCCCTGAGAGGCTCCCTCCCTGGCACCGTTGATGGCTGTGTGGCCTGGGACATCGCTGCAGAGTTTGTGTCTCAGTTCTCCCTTTATGGATCCGAGCTAATCTTGGTCATCTCAGGTGTGTAGGGAGAATTACCTGCGCTCATCGGCAAGCCGCAGCCGGATGCTCTATGAAGCTCACACACTTGTGACTCTTCTTTACCGGAATCATGCCTTGATGCTGATTTTTAAGTGTTAGGGCATTAGAAGGGACTCTTGGAAGTTTGAAAGCACACTTCTGAAAGTCTGGCATAGGGGAAAAGCATGTCTGGGTAGAATTGAAAGCAGGGAGGCAAATATCTGTACCCCTGTGTTCACTGCAGCAGCATTCACAACAACCACAATGTGGAAACTGCCTACCTGTCCCTCAACAGATAAGCAGATCACGAACTGTGATGTGTGCATACAATGGAGCGTTACTGAGGCATAAGGAGAAATGAGTCTGAATGCACGCTCTGACCCCGTTGGGCCTTGAAGACATTGTTCTGAATGAAGTACATCAGCCACAAGAGGACAAATATTGTAGGATCTCACTTCTCGGACATCTCTAGAGCGTAGAGACTGAAGTTGACCAGGGCCCTGTAGGTAGGAGGGATGAGAGAAGAACTCAGTACTTGGGAGAACGTGAGTTCTGTTAGGGCGATGGGAAAATGAGGGTGATGGGCAAACCACATAATGAACTGGGCTATATTCGTTAAGATTGTGAACATGCCAATTCCGTTGACATCTATAACATTAATAAACATTTTTTGGTTCTTTTAAAAAAGGATTGAGTGCAGCTGTGTCAGATTCTGTGCCTGCCTTACCCATGGCAGACACTGGCTCAAAAGGCTGCCACAGAGACACTGTAGCTCATGGGCCCTGTTCCTCTCTTCTGAGGCTCAGGGATAAATTTTGTTACAGACATGAAGAAAAAGTAATAATAAAATAGATCAGGTTAAAAAAAAAAGGATTGAGGATTCTTAAAAGAGTTTTTTTTGTACTGTGTTATATCTATGATGTTTATAGTATTCTAAATTAAAACGGGGAATTTAAAGCAAACCGCATGGATGTAGTCCTTGGTTTTTAACTTACCAGGACCGTAACACCTCATGGTGGCTGCAGAGTTTGTGTTCTGAGCAGGATGTCTGGGCCGGACACTGGCTTGACCATTCGTTGACTAGCTGGGTGATCTTGTCTGAGTTACTAAATTTCTCTGTACATTAGTTTCTCCTCCAATAAACCAGAGACAATGAAGATGAGATGATGATGATGCCTATCTTGAGTTATTGAGAAGATGAGGTTCCTATATGTCCCTTAGAACCGTACCTCAAAATATCTCCAAACTCACTGCTCGTGAGTCGGTTCTGACTCAGAGTGGCCCTATAGGGCAGGGCAGTGCTGCCCCTGTCGGTTTCCAAGACTTTCAATCTTCACAGGAGTAAGACAGGCTCATCTTTCTCTTGTGGAGCCACTGGTGGGGTTGAACCTCTGATCCTGTGGTTACCAACTCAATTCCTAGCCCACCATGCTACCGGAGCTCCCTAGAATAGTACCCGCACATGTAATCCTGTATTCTACAAAAACTCAAAGTGCTTGTCATGTACTAGCTGCTGGGGATCCAACAGTTTTGTTGAACTGCATTCTAGTGAGAGAAAGATAGCCAACAACTATGTTTCTCAACCCACTCACTGCCTTCGAGTGGCTTCCAACTCACACAGCTCTCTGGGACTGGGTACAATTGCTCCTGTGGGTTTCCAGGACAGCAACTCTTCATGGGATTAGAAAGACTCGCCTTTCTCTGGTGGAGCAGCTGGTGGTTTTGAACTGCTACGCTTGCTGGGTAGCAGCCCAGCACATAACCACTATGTCACCAGGGTAGTAGTGGTGAGATTCAAATAATTTAACAACCGGTTCACTGCCCTAATGACCATTTTAAGTACAAAAAAAAGATATGCCCCACGGTAGTTTATTATGTTATACAGATAATACTTAAATAACACTAAAAAAGAAGGCACGTGAAACTAGGTTATACTATAAGAGTTTTAAAATGTTAATGAAAAAGTGTTAAATAGTACCTGACAAAAAAGCAATAAAA